TTGTGTTTTATTTTGAGACATTGCATCTTATAGGTATTCAATATTCATACAATCATGTTGTTTTCTTGTCAAAATACCGGCAAAAAACAAATAGTTGAGACAAATATTGCAATATTATTTTATAATAATGTTTAATGATGCTGTATATACATAAATAAATAATCTAATTGTATTAATTACACAATTTTTCTAACTTACTCTAAAGTACTCTATCGTACTCTGTTTAGTAGTACCCAAAACGATTTAAAAAATCGTACAAATGATTTAGAAAATCGCACAAATGATTTCCTAAATTGTTCAAACGATTTAAAAAATCGTACGAACAATTTCCTAAATCATACAAACTATTTTTAAAAAAAAATAGTACAAACGGTTTCCTAAATTGTTCAAACGATTTTAAAAAATCGTACAAACAATTTCCTAAATCGTACAAACTATTTTTTTTTAAAAAATCGTACAAACGGTTTAACAAATTGTACAAACGATTTAACAAACAAATTGTACAAACGATTTAACAAATTGTTCAAACGATTTTACAAATTGTACAAACGATTTAACAAATTGTACAAACGATTTAACATATTGTATAAACGTTTTCTTAAATCGTTCAAACGATTTTAATTTTTTTTCTACATTGTCAATATGGCACGAATACGCCGTCGTAGATATGGGATTGGACTCAACTGATTTCCATATCAGAAGAATTTTTAGCGAAACACAAATGTGGCGATTTTTTTCTTAGAAAATTGTACCTATAATGTTATCCATAAGTAATTTTAGCGATCGATTATGTCATGCTTTGATCCAACATTTACCATAAAATATATATATTTAAATCTGTACTGTATCACATGATGATATAAATTAAATCCATGAACTCTAAGCATGATGTTCTAGACCAAAATAGAGTAGTTTTAAGTTTTGTATTTTTTCCGTTTTCAGGAATAAGAGAAAGCATTTTTTTTATCATTACTTAATTCATTGTCTTCGAGAATTTTTCCTGGATAAAAAAGACACATTTTCTTTATTAAAGTGATGAAGTTAATCATGAAATTATTTCGTTTACACTTCTAGCTGTATATTATTTTCTCAAACTCAAAAAAAAAAAAAAAAAAAAATCATGAGTTTAATATAGATTGTCCTTTAATCATTAAAAGATATAATGGTTTAATGCTACTGTAAGTATACATATCTGTCTTAAAAAGGAAGAATAAATAAATACATTGTAATTGAAATCATTACCAGGTTCATTGTTATTGCAGAGGTTACAATTTATATCAATAAAATCTACCTCGTCCGAATGATTCGTTAACCGAGTTATCTATAAATACCAGGTGCGTTACTTCCCTTAACAGAACTCTTCAATATTCCCGCCATTTTTAAACGAAAACGACACGACAGAACACGACAATTGGACAACAGAAATCGTGTTGTGGTAGATATGTAGGAACATGAGTAAATCCAAAGATGCAAGTGGTTTGTATTTGATCACACTGTGACATGATATCCCTTAAGCACCCCTTTAAAGCAACGTTGATTCATTCTTGTTTTGGCATAGACTGCGCGTCGTGCCAAACATCTGACCTTCACTGGCTTCAGCCACTGGCTCAAGCTTCAGTTCCACACTTGTGACAATTAAACGAGTAAAAAGGCTGATAAATGTTGAAAATGATTTTAAATTGAAGATACAGACAAGTTTAAATACAAGCAAATATTCAAAAAATAATTATATATTTACCGATTGGCCAATTTTTCATACTGTTGATTTTGAGGGGGAAAAATCACTTAAATCAAAAAGAAATGCAATGCTTTTACAATTTTTTTTCTTAAAGACAATAGTAACAGCCACTAACAGGAAAGGAGAAAATAAATGGCTGGACTGAGACAGGGTTACTCCTGCATCACTTATCTGTACATTGTAATCAGGTGCTCTACTGAGCTACTCCAGCGGATATCCACAGCCGAAACCATAACATTCCTCCCTCCTTAAATTTTCTTAGCCCTTGAAAACACAACCAAGTTCTTAATGGCCCTAGCAGGCCTTTCACCTGCAAGTCCAGGGGTGGTCAATGGCATCAAATCTGTCAGTCTAATTAAAATTTGATCCTTTAGCTCCTGTATTTTGTAATGTCGCTGTAAGGACAGCGACATAATAAAATACAGGAGTTTAAAGGATCTAATCTTAATTAGATTGCAAATCTGTAAAAGTATGGCTGAACAGGGAATTGAACCTGAGACCCCAGCATGACTTGTTGGGTACATTTTTGACTGAGCTACCAAGGCATAACAGTTACACTTTCCAAACCATTGTACACAATAACAATATTGAACCTCCGATTTATTCAGTCGACAACAGTAGGGGGCACTTGATTTGATAATTTAAAAAAATCAGTCAAAAACAAGGATAACGGGGGATTATTGTTGATATTGACATCTTTGTGCTTGTATCGTTGATAAATGGCCAGAAAAAAATTAATTTGAGATTCTCATCCCTACCCGCCACTCTAATAGTGTCCCACGTTGTTCTTTTTATTTTGATTTTTGGGGTATGAAAAGATTTACATGAATATGTACATGTATTATATTTTACCTATGCAAAGAATCAAAATTTTAAGCATTACAGTATACTGGACAGAGTTCAAAATTTATCTAAAGAATATTACCAGGTCCACTGGTCCAGCACTTTTATCTCTTGATTCAGAAATATAGTTTGATACAATGTATAGCTTTATTAAGCTTTTTTTTATTTATAATTTAGCTGCTAGAGCAGTACTGGAATACCTGAATAGACAGAACAGACCGTACAGTGCTGTGGACATCTTCAACAATCTACACAAGGAGTACGGCAAGACGGTTTGTTTCTATGGCCTTGCATATGCCTCCATATTATGTGTCTACTCTGTAAACAATAACAATTAATTACTATATATAAAGTCAATTAATATAACAATTAATGCACTAAAATCATACAGATTCAAACAATCTCTGTCCGAAGTACCTTGACAAACAGGAATTCAAATTCAAATGATGTAATATATTAATATATCATCATTTCTTGGAATATATTTGAATTGGATATTCATCCTGCATATAGTTTGATGAAAAGTCAGGTATTTTGGTGTTTTCCTTAAACATATGCAAGAACTTTTAAGTTTACTTTTTAAAATGTGTTCTAAATGTCGAATTAATTTCTCAAAAATATGGACAATTAAGTGTTTTATGTATGACATCTTGTTTCTCCTTTCAGGCTGTGGTTAAGGCATGTGAAAGTTTGACAGAGGGAGGAAAAATCAAAGAAAAAGTTTATGGAAAGCAGAAGGTGTATGTTGCAGATCAGGTAAATGAAAAGAAATAAGTGTTAACAAGTCAAATTTCCATTAAAGGTTAGGTTAGTTACTGTAGATTCCTAAATATACGCGTGGAATTTATTATCGCGTAATTTCGCGAGAAGCACCACACGCAAAATAAAATTACTCGCCTTTATTTTTATAGTGCTGAAATCTATGAAAAATCTCTTGACCAACCGTCCATTCGCGAATTGTTTCTTGCGATTTGACGTTGAAGATTCGCGATAATAAGTACTCGCGAAAAATAAGGAATCTACAGTATTTCAAGGGACAGGCAGAAATGCCAAACTTATGTTAGCCTCATGAGGTATGAATCAGGGACCATAAACTGTAGTTTAATTTTACACTCTGCATTGAAAACGGGGAACATAACCACCACAAGGGACAGATAAAGACATGCATTTCATATTAATGGCATTGTTAGATCTTTTTGTGGAAATCTTCAAGAAATTCTTAATATTAATAAGCATATTTCTATCAGAATATCACAAAATGATATAATAAGTGGATAGTCTTATGTACAAGATGACATTTTTTTCAGGGCCAGTTCCCTGATGTTGATGATAATGAGATTCGGAACATGGATGCTAGGATTGGTGAATTATCCACACAGAGTCAGGACATGGACAGTCAAGTGAAACGACTGGATGCTGGTCAGTTTTAATATATCAGATTTGATATATCTTTTGAAAATGATCACATGAAAAATTTAAGAGATGCAATGTTTTAGCTTTGAAAGACCAAAAAAAAAAAAATAATAATAATGTGAGAGCAAGCTAGAAACAAAAATTTTTATATTGATTGTTTTGGCAAAATTTTGGAAAGATTGAAAACATGTCTTAACATGTCTGATGTTTGGAAAACATCAGACATGTGAAGGACATGTACAGAAAGAATTTTCAGTTTAAGATTTATTTACTTGGAATGTCTGATCTAGCAATTTGTTTACTGTATGTGAAAAATATGCTTGCAGTCCATAATGTAAAGCAAAAATTCCATAAAAAAAAATGTCAGGTTAAGTTGGTTTGAAATCTTTATTTCTTTCATAGAACTTAGAGGGTTGAACAGCTCTATCTCTACAGAGGAGGCGGTTCTACAGCTGAAACGGTTAACTGACGAGGTCTGTACATATCAGCTGATAAAATAAACATACTTTTTATATGAGTAAACTTTGAATGCTGACATGTTAAAATAAAAATGGCCAAGATGAATAAATATTGTGTGTCCTATACTAATCTGAAGAAAAAATAGGTAGGCAGGGAAACATTTTATTCCATTTTAACATTTTTATGGCAAACATGCTGCCTTTTTTTTTTCGGGGGAAAGCACTGCGAAAATCTTTCTACTTAATGTGTATAGGATGCACATTTTATGAAACAAAGGAGTGATAAAAATTGAGAATTTTATTAGTGAAACTGTTACTTTTGGAAAGATGTAGCCAAATTAATTTTGCAGGGTCAGCTCATATATTTTAGGGTCGTCGGGGATCTGGGATCTAACAATATTTCTAGGTCAAATTTATTTTAAATGCTATGTAGTATGAGTTTACAAATGCCAAGCTTGACTGAAGAACAATCTGAACTGAACATTGAACCATTTATCAAACTAAAATAGAGATTTTTATACCGTGCATCATACTGACAAATTAAACCTAGGTGAACCTTTTCAGTTATTTTAATACTTTGTACATGTATCCTAGGGGTGGGGCGATATACCGATACACTGATACATATCGATATTTTCCTCCAAGATACTGTTTACGATACAAGCATTCAAATAACGGTACGTAACGATACAAGAACGACCTATTCAAAAATTGAAAATGAAGGTACCTGAAGAAATGATGTTGATATTGAAAACACACTTTAGAGCAAATAAGTCGTTGGTTAGGGGTAAAACGTTTTCACTTTTAAGCAACCTCGGAAGATTAGACAAGAAAAGTTCAGTATGAAATGCGTGCTATACACAGAAAATATCGTTTCCAGAACATTTGATATTATTGTTAGTCCATCTATACTTTTTTGTAATCTCAACTGGGCTCAAGACTTTCAGCAATGAATTAATAACAATGTAAATGTGATCGATGTTTTTTTAAATGAATTTTTAGTCAGTGTTCTCTGATGAAAAACAAGACTATTTGTAAACAACTTCTGAATAGTAATTTGGTAATACTAAGTAATAGTATGTATGTATTATTGTTTTTGTAAAGTTTTAGTCAATGAAATTGATGAACTTCAATTATTAATTTCAAAGAAAACATGATTTGATATAGAATAATTTGTTGATTTAATGTCAAGACAAAAAAAACAAATAAAATACTAATACTTCAGTAGTTTTATAATTTATCATAATATCGAGATATGTATCGTATCGTGCCAATGTATCGAGATATGTATTGTATCGCAAGATGTGTGTATCCTCCCACCCCTAATGTATCCAGTCATGATTCAGACAAACCATGCTGCAAAGTCAGAAATACCTAAAACCACTGACTCATGGAGTGTCTCTATTTATTACAAAGACTAAAATTACTTTTATTTATACTTTTCAGTGTGAAGCATGTAAAGGGAAGTTGAAGACTTTAATGGAGGGCGGAAAAACTGTGTCGCCAGAAGAAAAAGACAGGGTAAAATGTTACTGTAATTATTGACATTGTCCGCTTTAAGGATTTGAAAGATTTTAAAAAATGAGTAGCCGGGATTTCCAAAATCACGTTTACATTCATGTGTCTCTTGTATTTAAGATATCTTTGTTTTAGGTAGTGACGTTCATCTGTGTGAAGATTTTATGTTTTAATGCATTGTTTTATGCCTTACAGATTTACACAGCAAGAACAAAATATGTCAAAGAGTGGAGAAAAAGAAAGAGAATTGTAAGTTAGAGATTTATTGTGTTTGATACTGGAATTTTAATTTTGAAAGCAACAGAATTACTTGACATTTTTAATTATTATCTTAAAAGTTAATAACTACATTTGCAGCAGTGAAATACTGTAATTTATTCTGACATTGAATAAAAGTGATATACTGTCACAGTATGAAAGGGTATCAATAGTTCAGTAGCACTCGAGATTTTCCTTCCCTTCACCAAGAGTGTTGTAAAAATAAAATTATCCCTGACCTGTTTTAAGATAGAGCAAGTTAACAATCTTTACTGAGTCAAAATTGCCAAAGTTTCTCCAATTAGGCTGTTGAAATCCATGTTTATCTTGCAATCGCTAAACCCGTGATGTCTCAACCGCTCTACTATGAAATCATGGCCTTTGACACTCTGTTACGAAAAAGACAGAGGAACGGGGAAAATCAACGAAAATGTAATAAACAGAAAATTCAATAATTTGTAGTTAAATATGGAATTTATTTCACTCATGAAACAGGATTTTTTATATTTTCACACATGCTTCACACTCGTGAAAATAGAAAAAATTCCTGTTCTACTCGTGAAATAAATTCCATATTCAACTACAAAACATTGAATATCCTCTATTTAAGTGATTACTCTATCACAACTTTAACAGAGTTGTGGAAAACTTTTTCAGATAGCCAGTCATTTGGACTGGCAAGAAAACAAAATAAGCCGGTCCGAAGTGATTTATGTCGGTCCGAAATAGTAAGTCGCAAAATAAAAAAAAAACATAATATTTATTTACTGTATAACACAGCTATTTAATAAATCATGTTAAAAATAATGCAAAATTCAGACTCCATTTCCAAGTCCTCTTCCGTTTTCTTTTAATTTTGCATTTATAACATTACTTGATACTGTCCACTTTTGGGCAGGTGACAACACTAATTCAGCATAGTGAATGTAATTTTTAAAAACATTTATGCATTTTGGAATTATATTAACCTAAAAAAAATTGGTCTGATTGTCGGTTTTGCCGGCATGACCGGCAGTTTTCCACAACTCTGACTTTAATATATCAGAAGTAGAGTAAAACTTGAGTTGTTTTTCCTTTTATGCAGATTGTTGTACAAATACCCTTGGCTTCATGCTATAACACTTGTGAAAATATATTTTTATGAAAGTCTTACTCATAAAATAAATTCCTTATCCATCAACAATACAATGAATATCCTCTATGTTTTTCAGAGTAATGATATTCTTGGAGCAATATTAGAAGGCTACCCAAAGACAAAGAAACAGTTATATGTAAGTCCTAGAAATGTATATCTCTAGTGTGTTTCATTGTAATTAAGTTTTTGAAACATTTTATTAAAGTTTAACAGGACTCATGAATAGGCAATCGCCATATTCAATTATACAGTCTATGATATCAACACCAGGGTATACCCTTCACATTCATTACACCGGACTGCTTTATTGTCATGGGTTTTGGCATGAATTGATGTGTTCGTGCTTGTGATCTTGCTTTGCCTTTATTTATTTTATTGCAGTTCCATGTATTTATGTTTGTTGTATACTGCACTGAACTTTGCAATCTTGCTCGCCTGCCGTTGAATAAGTACACAGTTATTTTCTGTCGATACAGAGTGCTTTGTTGCATGCACTCCTAAACACTGGCGACAACTGAACTATCAGTTACACCTAACAGTTACTATAAGTGAGCAGCTTTTATAGGGGCCCTCAGACATAGCGAGTGAATATTGCAGACAAATTTCTTTTACCAAACATGTTCAGATTTAAGAATCTTGCCCAGCTAGAATTGTCCAGACAAATTCATTTTTCAATTTTTCATAAAGAACTAAAGTGAATCGTTTCATTAATATGCCTCAAAGCTTCCTCTAAGGTTTTGATTGTGTAAAGTGTACTCTAGTGGTTTTGTGAGCTGAACCATCCGAAGGCCTAAATGGTTGAAATAAAGTGTTGTGGTTTTGTTGTTCAGAAACCCCCAACTTTCCCTACCCCCAGGCTCATTAAGGTTGAAATGGATATAATGCAAGAAAGAGGTTTATTTGTTGCACCTCAATAAAGCTTGAATGGTTAGGCTATCTAAATTTAATTCTCTGGTTCTCAGGCCAATTTTCTCCAAAACAGATGCGAGAGGGAGGCATTTTATTTATGATTTTATTGGCAATAAAGTAGATGAGGGAGGTATTTTTTTAATTTTGATTTTCGAATTTTCTTTAACATAAAGATAATTTTTTTAATCACTGATATACTTTCCATTTCTGGTCAAAATTTCTGCTTTATCCATTGCTTAACAGCGTGTAAACATCGTAGGTAATGTCCTTGAATGTATTTTCAAACGAAGTAGCCAAAATCTCATTGTAAATGGCTACCGGAAGTGATATTTGAATACTAAACTACGAAACGAATGAGGTCGGAATTTTTTTTCCCGGATTGGACTCCGCAATACCAACTTTTTATTTTATCAAAAATACAATAAAATCGGCAATGCAGCTACCTCAAAATGGATGCGCGCGGGCCTGAGAACCAAGATTTCAATTTTACATGGCCTTAGCATTGTAGTGGTTTTTTGTATTACCCCCTTCAAGACTGGAATAGTGTGATGTGGTTTTTATTTGAGGCCCCTTCCAAAGTCAAGAGTGGTTGAAATCAGTGTATTTAAATGGTTTGTTTTGTACTGGACCTCCCTTAGGCTGGAGTGGGTGAAATACAGTGTAGTGATTCTATGTATTGCACCTGTCCCGGCCTGTGGGTGGTTCTAGAGAGTCATCATCAGGTTTTCAGAACAGCATTTGACATAGGTACTCAGAGGTTATCTCTTTTGTACATTTTTTTGCATGTCTTGTCTGTTTTTAGCTCTACTGGTCAGAGACCAGAAGAGCTTATGCGATAGTAATGTGTCCGGCGTCCGTCTGTCTGTCTGTCTGTCCGTCTGTCTGTAAACAATTTTTCAAAACGCTACTCCTCCTACAATTTTAGTCTGATTTCAATATTACTTGGCACACAAGTAGACTACACTAAGATAGATAGAATAGTGCATCGGTTTTTAATTTCGATGAACGGCGTTGCCATGGTTACTAAAAATAGAATTTTCTGTGAAATTCCTTTCAAACGCTACTCCTTCTACAGTTTTGCTCTGATTTCAATATAACTTGGCACACAAGTAGACTACACTAAGATACATAAAATAGTGCATCGGTTTTTGATTTCGATGAACGGTGTTGCCATGGTTACTAAAAATAGAATTTTCTGTGAAATTCCTTTAAAATGCTACTCCTTCTACAGTTTTAGTCTCATTTCATTATCACTTGGCACACAAGTAGACTACACTAAGATACATAAAATAGTGCATCGGTTTTTGATTTGGATGAACGATGTTGCCATGGTTACTGAAAATAGAATTTTCTGTGAAATTCCTTTAAAATGCTACTCCTTCTACAGTTTTGGTCTGATTTCAATATAACTTGGCACACAAGTAGACTACACTAAGATACATAGAATAGTGCATCGGTTTTTGATTTTGATGAACGATGTTGCCATGGTTACTAAAAATAGAATTTTCTGTGAAATTCCTTTAAAACACTACTCCTTCTACAGTTTTGGTCTGATTTCAATATTACTTGGCACACAAGTAGAATACACTAAGATACATAGAATAATGCATAGGTTTTTGATTTCGATGAACAGTGTTACCATGGTTACGAAAAATAGAATTTTCTGTGAAATTCCTTTAAAACGCTACTCCTTCTACAGTTTTAGTTTGATTTCAAAATAAGTTGGCACACAAGTAGACTTCACAAAGATACATAAAATAGTGCAATGGTTTTTGATAAGTACAAACCAGTAGAGCTACAGTCTTGACAGAGACTTCTGTTTTTTTTCGTGTTCATTAAGTAACATGAGATGAATTATGAACTTGCCTATGTTCCATTTGAAGGGGTTATGGTAAATCAGTGGTTAAAAAACTTAGAACTACAAAAGAAGAAATGAAATAAAACTTGCCAGTATTTATATACATGTATGTGAAAATCAGATGTTAAATTGTTAATGACATTGTATTTGCTTATGTAGGATGAGGTTGGGATAGAGACAGATGAAGACTACGGCACATCACCACCAGAAATCTGAAGGTTACCAAAAGTCCGGTCAGAGGTCAACTGGAAGTCAGGTCAAAGGTCAACTAAAAGTCACATTAGAGGTCAACCAGAAGTCAAGCAGTGAAAGAGGAAATGGTCGGTTAATTATTAAACTTAATTATATGGGACACTGTGAACTTCAATATGATCATTTGTTTATATATGATTGGAAACTGATTGGTATGTTCCAAGTGAATGAACCATCTTGCAACAGTCTTGTAATATGAATTCAGTGCATTCAGAAAATATGTGTTCATATTCTTTTTATTGTATATTTTTTATACTAGTTTGTTTTGTTGCATCTATGAAATAAAAATGTTTTAATATTTGCAATTTTTCTATGAATTTTGGGGAAACTTTTTAGTGATATATATATACACTTTTCATCTAAAAAAACCCCCAAAATATCTGACATAGGATTTTGACTCACTTTTTAAAAAATAACTTGAAATGAAAAAGATGAAGGTATAAAAGTGATCAGTTTCAAAATTATCCACAGTTCCACACACTATAGAAATCTAAACAAGGCAAATATTTGAAAGAACTATATGCGGTATATTGCATATATTTGCCCCCACAAAAGTCATATTTTGAAAACTTCCTGAAATGTGCTGAATTCAATAAATTGTATGAGAAATATAATTTAACAGAAAATATTATAGTGTCAAAGCAGTGTATTAACAATTTTTGTTTTTATGACGTCATAAACTAGTCCGATTTTATATCCTTTTTTCAGAAAGAGGACAAAATGGACAAAATTTCAACAATTTTAGCTTTAGAATTTATAGAGCGCAAGTTTGTTCAGGAACAATATTGACATATTTCATTGATATTATCATTCTACATATTAAATTAAAATATTGAT